CAATGTTACTTTGCATCCCTCTATCTCCCATCCGATCAATGTTTATAAACAATGTTACTTTGTATCTATCTCTGTCTGATCAATGTTTATAAACAATGTTACTTTGTATCTATCTCCTGTCTGATCGATATTTATAAACAATGTTACTTTTGTATCTCTATCTCCCATCTGTCTGATTGATGTTTATAAACAATGTTACTTTTGTATCTCTCTATCTCCCGTCTGATCAATGTTTATAAACAATGTTACTTTGTATCTCTCTGTCTCCCATCTGATTGATGTTTATAAACAATGTTACTTTGTATCTCTCTGTCTCCCACCTGATCGTTGTTTATAAACAATGTTACTTGTATCTATTTTTTTAATGGTTGGACTGGATGGACTTTTGTCTTTTTTCAGCCAGACTAACTATGTAACTATGGCACCAGGATGTAGTATGGGAAGAAGACAAGCCGGCGGAGGCAGTGTGATGGTTTGGGCAATGTTCTGCTGGGAAAGCTTGGCTGCTGTCATGTGGATGTTACTAGACACGTACCACCTACCTAAACATTGTCCACCCCTTCATGGGAATGGAATTCCCTGATGGCAGTGGCCTCTTTCAGCAGGATAATGAGCCCTGTCACACTGCAAAAATGGATCAAGAAGGGTTGAGTTGACTTGGCCTCCAAATTCTCCAGATCGCAATCCAAGTCCGATCCATGGAGCCCCCTCCTCCCAGCTTACAGGACATAAAGGATCTGCTACTGACGGCTTGGTGCCAGATATCACAGCGTACCTTCAGAGGTCTAGTGGAGACCATGTCAGGGCTGTTTTAGAGGTAAAAGGGGGACCCACCTAATATTAGGTGGGTGGTCATCAAGTTACGGCTGACCAGTGTATTTGAGAAGGAAAAACATTACGGTGTGATTTTCAAGACTGCTTTGTGAATTCTCTAGAACGAATGAATGCGTTTTGGGCTGGACAAGGATACTGATTTCATTGTCTCTTTGCTGTAGAAGGTCTCGGAGCTTCTTCATTTCTTCTGGACGGACACTAGAAGATCCGGGTCTTTCCGTGGTGGTCTCAGGAGAGGAGATTCTCACATCAGATGGTTTTCGGTCACGGAAAAGCCCTGAGAAGGAAAAAGGGGAATACGTTATAATTTTGGGGGCGGAGCCGCGCCATCTGTTTCAATGGACCCAGGCAGCGTGGTTCAGGATCAAGCCTGCAGGTGGACCCCGACAATGTAGCTTTGTATGGTGTCACGCAGAGAAAAAGAAGACAAAGCACACCAGTGGGGGACCCAAGAAGAGGACATTCAAGGCTGCTCTGTGCAAAACCATTACACAGAGCAGGTAAGTATGACGTGTTTTTTTTAGGCTTTCATTTATTTTCATCTGGTGACCCAGCCAGTAAGTCTGTTGTATTTCAGAAGCTCAAGCTCTCCAGCAGAATGTATCTGTTTACGTAGGTGAGACCGTGCATTTAACACTGGCAGGGTGTATAAGATGTACGGGGTATACAGGATGTACAGGGTGTATGGGGTGTACAGGGTCTATGGGGTGTACAGGGTCTATGGGGTGTACAGGGATGTACAGGGGTGTATGGGATGTACGGGATGTATGGGGTTTTACAAGGTGTATGGGATGTATGGGGTGGACAGGGATGTATGGGGTGTACAGGGATGTATGTAGAGGTGTATGGGATGTACGGGGTGAACAGGGATGTACGGGGTGTATGGGGTGTACAAGATTTACAGGGTGTACAGTCTGTATGGGGTGTACAGGGATGTGTGAGGTGTATGGGATGTATGGGGTGTATAGGGATGTGCGAGGTGTACGGAATGTATGGGGTGTACAGGGTGTATGAGATGTATGGGGTGTACAGGGTGTATGAGATGTATGGGGTGTACAGGGTGTATAAGATGTATGGGGTGTGCGAGGTGTACGGGGATGTAAAGGATGTATGGAGTGTACAGGGATGTATGAGGTGTACGGGGTGTACAGGATGTGCAAGATGTACGAAGTGTATGGGGTGTACAGGATGTACGAGGTGTATGGGGTGTATGGGGGTGTACGGGATGTATAGGGTGTACAGGGATGTACGAGGTGTATGAGGTATACAGGGTGTATAAGATGTACAGGGTGTATAGGGATGTATGTGAAAGTAAAGGGGTGTACAGGGATGTACAGGGTGTATGAGGTGTACAGGGTGTATAGGGATTGTACGGGGTGTACAGGATGTACGGGGTGTATAGGGTGTAGAGGGATGTACGGGGTGTATAGGGTTTAGAGGGATCTACGGGGTGTATAGGGTGTAGAGGGATGTACGGGGTGTAGAGGGATGTATGGGGTGTATAGGGTGTAGAGGGATGTATGGGGTGTAGAGGGATGTACGGGGTGTAGAGGGATGTACGGGGTGTAGAGGGATGTACGGGGTGTAGAGGGATGTACGGGGTGTATAGGGTGTAGAGGGATGTACAGGGTGTAGAGGGATGTACGGGGTGTAGAGGGTGTAGAGGGATGTATGGGGTGTAGAGGGATGTACGGGGTGTAGAGGGATGTACGGGGTGTATAGGGTGTAGAGGGATGTACAGGGTGTAGAGGGATGTACGGGGTGTATAGGGTGTAGAGGGATGTACGGGGTGTAGAGGGATGTACGGGGTGTATAGGGTGTAGAGGGATGTACGGGGTGTAGAGGGATGTACGGGGTGTATAGGGTGTAGAGGAATGTATAGGGTGTAGAGGGATGTACGGGGTGTATAGGGTGTAGAGGAATGTATAGGGTGTAGAGGGATGTACGGGGTGTATAGGGTGTAGAGGGATATACGGGGTGTATAGGGTGTAGAGGAATGTATAGGGTGTAGAGGGATGTACGGGGTGTATAGGGTGTAGAGGTATATACGGGGTGTATAGGGTGTATGGGGTGTACGGCCAAGCAGATATTCTGTCAGGAAGCCGCGGTAGTTCATTGAACAACTACCAGCCCACAGTCGCTAAGGCTGCCAGGACTTGCAGTTCATTCATTCACAGAAGTCCGCTAATGAATTACGCGGTCATGTGGGCGGAGCCACAAGTGGACACGCTGTTTTTAAATCTGACAGATAGTATGGGGAGACTTCTCCTCGTATTATCTGTCAGAGAGAGGGGTGGGTGACGGTTACGGCTATGGGAACATGTAACATGCTCCACCCTAAAAATGAGTGTCACATGTAACATGTTTCCGAAGGTGAACATATCCTTTAAACCTTTATCCCTAAAAAGAAAAACATAATGCTGTATCTGCTTACAAAGTGTGAGTTGGAGTTTGGCCTCAATTTGTTAGTGTATCTAAATCTGCTAGTCCATTTAACACTCTCCTCCTACCAGACTGACAATGCTGCTGTCCAAAGGCGCCCCCTGTGCTCCTTCATCCAGAGCGGGGGCACTCTAATACAAGAGGTGTCTTAGTGGCCACATCACCAGGTTAAAAAAAGGGGAAAAAGCCTAAAAAAGGAAAACTAATGCAGCCACCAAATCTTATGACTGGTAAGCTGCAATAACGGGATTTTTGATGACTCTCTGAGTTCATTGCCGGACACAGCTGCTCCTTCTTAATCCATTCCCATTATTATTATTATCTGGTAATGGATTAACCACTTTAGCGGCGTGCAAAATCACGTATATACACAAAATTTTGCGTTTCCAGGTAGGGGGAGCGCACGCCCTACCCGCGGCGCCATTTGAGCCGCGGCTGTCAATCACCGGGTCCCGGCCGGTGATTACTCGACGGTGCCCGGTGATTGCGGAGGATCTTTGACGAGGGGGAGAACTGTTAGTAAGAAAAACAATACTCTCCTCTCTCAGCTCCTGCACACTGCTTTATATGGCTGTGCTCAGCACAGCCATGCAAAGCAGTGTGCTTACAGTGAAGCACACACACAGGACACAGGATGTAAAACAGCACAAAGTTAACCCTTTGATGGCCCCAGATGTTAACCCCTTCCTGCTCAGTGCCATTAGTACAGTGTCGGTGCTTTTTATTAGCACTGATCACTGTATTGGTGTCACTGGGGATGCCAGTGACACCAAGTCAGTTCCCCCCTCCCCCCAGTGTCAGTAAATGTTTAACCACTTCACGTCCGGCCCATGTATATAAACAGCCGGAAGGTGGCAGTGCAGGGTCGGGTGGACATTTACAAAAGGCCTCCCCGCCTCCCCGCCCCCTCCAAGTGTGCAGCACCGCGATCCGGTGCCCGCTGCGTCCTCCGGACACAGTGAAACAGATTGGATGGGACCTCTGTGCGAGGTCCCCGATCATGTGATCACTGATTGGCCAATCAGCGATCACATGCAGAGTAGTAAGCAAGATGTCACTTCTGACATCATTGCTTACGACGTGTGAAATCTGTGAATGATCACAGAGATCACATGGTACAGGGCCATTCACAACAGCCTTGTACCATGTGACAAGCTGTGACCAATCACAGCTTTCCCAGTATTTCTCAATACTGCAAGAATGCAGCCAGAGAGAAGGAGGAATGATTGATTTTACAGCCTTTATGGGTGTAAAAGCAATCAGTGTAAAAAAAAATCTTCATCACCCCCCACAAGTAGTACAGTGTCACCATGGTGATAGTCTACTGCTAGGGTGACAGTATGTTAAAAAAATAAATAAATAAATAAATAATAATAAGAAAACAAAATAAGAATGTAAAAAAAAAAAAGTTTAAAAATTATAATTTTTGGTTATAAACTAATTTGGCTTATTTTTTTTTTACTAAAAAGATAACGGAATACATTTTGGCCGAGATTTATGATGAAGGATTATTTATTTGTAAAATTTTATAAGAAAAATACTTTTTTTTCAAAATATTGGACTTTCATTTATATAGCAAAAAAATAAATAAATCCCAGCGGTGAATAAATACCACCAAAATAAAGCTTTATCTGTCTCAAAAAAATGCTAAACAATTCATATGGGTACAGTGTTGCATGACCGCGCAATTGTCATTCAAAGTGTGATAGCGCTGAAAGCTGAAAATTGTCCTGGACTGGAAGGGGGGGAAAGTGTTCAGACTGGAAGGGGGTGAAAGTGTTCCGAACTGGAAGGGGGGGAAAGTGTCCGGACTGGAAGGGGGGGGAAGTGTCCGGAAGGGGGGGAAAGTGTTCAGACTGGAAGGGGGTGAAAGTGTTCGGACTGTGGGAAGGGGGGGAAAGTGTCCGGACTGGAAGGGGAGGAAAGTATCCGGACTGGAAGGGGGGGAAAGTGTCCGGACTGGAAGGGGGGGAAAGTGTCCGGACTGGAAGGGGGTGAAAGTGTTCGGACTGGAAGGGGGTGAAAGTGTCTGGACTGGAAGGGGGGGAAAGTGTCCGGACTGGAAGGGGAGGAAAGTATCCGGACTGGAAGGGGGGGAAAGTGTCCGGACTGGAAGGGGGGGAAAGTGTCCGGACTGGAAGGGGAGGAAAGTATCCGGACTGGAAGGGGGGGAAAGTGTCCGGACTGGAAGGGGGGGAAAGTGTCCGGACTGGAAGGGGGGGAAAGTGTCCGGACTGGTTTTTGTTGTCTTGGCACCAGAAAAATCCACCTCTGCTACAATGTCGGGTGACGGATCTGTCAGGAGGTAGGTGTCCTCTATAGCCCCACACACACAGCCTGGTTACCTTTAGTCCAGCAAAGCAGTAATGAACTTTCCGCATGTCGGCTCCGGTGTCTAAGGTGCTCTCGGGGTCTCCATCATCCAGGAAATTGTGAATCTGCTCATCCAGCCTGCAAAAAAAATAAATACAAATTCTGATTCTTTACTATCACACTAAACCACAAATGGCAGTTCGCCAACTGTCACTGCCTGTGTGTGAGAGATACCAACAGTCATAAGCACAGCTCCATTGTGTATCTACACTCCATGCTGCTCTGTATGCTGTGCTGTAGGTAACAACCTCCTGATCTCTGCACTTTGTAACCTGTGCTGTACATTATATACTGCAAGCCATTGCACCCAGCATGCTGCATGCACCACATTGTGGCTCTCTGTACAACGGGGTGTACATTGTAAAAGCTTCACTCTCTATACAGCTCTATATTGCAAACTCCAAGTTGGTCCACTCTGTATGCTGTGCTGTGCATTATATACTCCAGATATGTCCACTCTGTATGCTGTGCTGTGCATTATATACTCCAGATGTGTACACTCTGTATGCTGTGCTGTACAATATATACTCCAGATGTGTACGCTCTGTATGCTGTGCTGTACATTATATACTCCAAATTGGCTCACTCTGCATGCTGTGCATTATATACTCCAGATGTGTACACTCTGCATGCTGTGCATTATATACTCCAGATATGTCCACTCTGTATGCTGTGCTGTGCATTATATACTCCAGATATGTCCACTCTGTATGCTGTGCTGTGCATTATATACTCCAGATATGTCCACTCTGCATGCTGTGCATTATATACTCCAGATGTGTACACTCTGTATGCTGTGCTGTGCATTATATACTCCAGATGTGTACACTCTGTATGCTGTGCTGTACATTATATACTCCAGATTGGCTCACTCTGTATGCTGTGCATTATATACTCCAGATGTGTACACTCTGTATGCTGTGCATTATATACTCCAGATGTGTACACTCTGTATGCTGTGCTGTACATTATATACTCCAGATTGGCTCACTCTGTATGCTGTGCTGTACATTATATACTCCAGATTGGCTCACTCTGTATGCTGTGCTGTACATTATATACTCCAGATTGGCTCACTCTGCATTATATACTCCAGATGTGTACACTCTGTATGCTGTGCTGTGCATTATATACTCCAGATATGTCCACTCTGCATGCTGTGCTGTACATTATATACTCCAGATATGTCCACTCTGCATGCTGTGCTGTATAGTACATACTCCAGGTCATATTCCCTACCTGGTGCTGTATATTACTTAGCCCGGATAACTATTTATTTAGGACTGGACTCTGGGGAGGCATTAACCAGACAAGCAGTAGGAGGAGACCGGCGGCGGTGGCCTGTGTGAGGGTCGCGGCACTCTCACCTGTGGCAAACGTTAATATTTTCCCAGTAATGGCTGAGCCAGGAAACGAGATATGTCCATAAATCAGGAGGAAAGCAGCGTACGGAAGCCACGAGATAATTCATGGTACAAGGGACTCCGTCATCCAAAATCAGCAGCGCGGGGCCCGCCCGTTAATCTCCTCCGCTGGGGGCCCGACACGTTTTTGGACGCCTCCATAGCTGTTCATCGAATTCCGCAGACCGAGGCGATGAGACGTCCGTAGATCGATCGCTTGAAGTCCAGCCCATGGAAAGGCCACGCTGGGACTTCTCTATTTTGAAAATGTCAAACTATAAAAAAAAAAGGAGGCTCGTCTGGGCCGGCGAAGGAATCAAATACGAACGAGCGGACGAACGATTTACGAGGAGGAACGCGCAACTCCTCCCTCGGCGTTCCAGATTTTGCGGAGTCCAGGGGTGATTGGAATGACCCGTCTGCATATCTCAGCCGTCACTACGACCCAGAGAGCCGCCGGAGCTGAACAACTGGAAATCAAAAAAAGACTTTGTATTTAACAGGAGCGATAAATGTGAACCGTGAGGCGGGTGGACTTCAAAGGAGGGCGATAACAAGGACAGCAACGCATGGCAAGGATCAGAACGGAACGGATCTGGACAGAAGGTTCTGACCCAGAAGGAAGAGGTTTGCTAGCCCACGTCTGGCTTTCTGTTATTGATTGCCGTGGGGGAGACTCCGGCCTGCCACAGACACGACACGTGGACAAGGTGTGCACCGGGATGGAGGAAGAGCACTTTGATCTTGGTGGGACAATAGAGATCTTCCAGAAAAATTCCAGAAAAGGACCCTTCCCCTAAAATCGTTCAATCTCGGGGCCTCCGGAGGTTCTGGTGCGGAGGTTTTGGTTCAGTGGAGTGGAAAACTTGGCTGAAAGTGGCTCAGACATGAAAACTTCTCACAATTCAGAGCACAAAGCTTAGGAAATGCCCTCTGTGCCTTGATCTTCTTTGTGTTTTAAAGGGGCTCAATAGAACCCTGGTTCAGTAATACCCCCCTGCTCAGCAGATCCCCAGCTCATCAGCACCCCTGCTCAGCAGATCCCTAACTCATTTGTGGGCATCTGTTGAATGGGGGTGTTCAACAGATTCCCAGCTCATTAGCACCCCCGCTCAGCAGATCGCTTGCTCAGTAGTACCCCCAGCTCTGCTGATCCCCTGCTAAGTAGTAATCCCCAGCTCTGCTGATCCCCCGCTAAGTAGTAATCCCCAGCTATGCTGATCCCCCACTAAGTAGTAACCCCCAGCTCTGCTGATCCCCCGCTCTCAGTAGTAACCCCAAGCTATGCTGATCCCCCGCTAAGTAGTAACCCCCAGCTCTGCTGATCCCCCGCTCAGTAGTAACCCCAAGCTATGCTGCTCCCCCCGCTAAGTAGTAACCCCCAGCTATGCTGATCCCCCGCTAAACAGTAATCCCCAGCTATGCTGATCCCCCACTAAGTAGTAATCCCCAGCTCTGCTGATCCCCCGCTCAGTAGTAACCCCCAGCTCTGCTGATCCCCCCGCTAAGTAGTAATCCCCAGCTCTGCTGATCCCCCGCTCAGTAGTAACCCCAGCTCTGCTGATCCCTGCTAAGTAGTAATCCCCAGCTATGCTGATCCCCCGCTCAGTCGTAACCCCCAGCTCTGCTGATCCCCGCTAAGTAGTAATCCCCAGTTATGCTGATCCCCCGCTAAGTAGTAATCCCCAGCTCTGCTGATCTACCACTCAGTAGTAACCCCCAGCTCTGCTGATCGACCCACTCAGTAGTAACCCCCAACTCTGCGGATTTCCCTCTAAGTAGTAACTCCCAACTCTGCTGATCCCCCACTCAGTAGTACCTCCAGCTCTGCTGATTCCCCCTCAGGGTATAACTTCCAGCTCTACTGATCCCCCCCTCAGTAGCACCCCCAGCTCTCTGCTGATCCCCCAATCAGTAGTACCCCCAGCTCTGCTGATCCCCCACTCAGTAGTACCCCCAGCTCTGCTGATCCCCTTCTCAGTAGTAATCCAGCTCTGCTGATTCCCTGCTAAGTAGTAACCCCCAGATTTGCTGATTCGCCACTCAGTAGTACTCCCAGCTCTGCTGATACCCCCCTCAGTAGTACCCTCAGCTCTGCTGATCCCCCACTATGTAGAACCCTCAGCTCTGCTGATCCCCCATTAAGTAGTAATCCCCAGCTCTGCTGATCCCCCGCTAAATAGTAATCCCCAGCTCTGCTGATCCCCAAGTAGTAACTCCCAGATCTGCTGATCCCCAGCTCAGTAGTAACCCCCAGCTCTGCTGATCCCCTGCTCAGTAGTAATCCTCAACTCTATGGATCTCCCTATAAGTAGTATCTCCTAGTTCTGCTGATCCCCCGCTCAGTAGTAACCCCCAGCTCTGCTGTTCCCCCTCAATGGTAACTCCCAGCTCTGCTGATCCCCCACTCAGTGGTAACCCTCAGCTCTGCTGATCCCCCACTCAGTGGTAACCCCCAGCTCTGCTGTTCCCCCTCAATGGTAACTCCCAGCTCTGCTGATCCCCCACTCAGTGGTAACCCCCAGCTCTGCTGATCCCCCCTCAGTAGTAACCCTAAGCTCTGCTGATCCTCCATTCAGTAGTAATCTGCAGTACTGCTGATTAGCAGTAGCCCCCTGATCTGCTGATCCTCTGGTTTGCTGATCCTCTACTTTCTCCAGTCCCCGTTCACCTCCTGCTACATTTCTCTCACACAGCATACCAAATCTGCCAGTTTCTCCTGCTCTGGTCCCCCAGCTCTGCTGATCCTCCAGCCCTCACTCAATCCTCTCTTCCCAGTCCCTGCTCACCTTCCAGTATAGGGTTTACATGTTGCACACTACGTGTGCCATACGCTAGTTACCACACTGGCATGCTCTGTCTGATGTCAGGCTAGAAATTTGGATTCATACATGGATATAGCTTTGGAATTGCCGTTCTGGCACAAACCCTTCCCTCAGTTGTTACATTTTAAAGATTCCCCTTTATGGCAACGCCATGGCCTAATGGTCCTAGCTGATAATAACAACAATGTCTTACACTCCTTTGATCATCTTAGAGGATATTATGAACTGAACTGCCCCAGACTTTGTTCTAGATATCTACAGTTACAACAAAGAAATGGACTTAAAGTGACGCCTATGGTGGGTTTTAGGTACCATAGATGGTCGTCCTTTCAAGGGCGTGGATATTTTTACATTTTTACATTTTTAGTTTACATTTACTCACTGCAACATCCTCTTTTATACCCACATGGAAGAAAAATATATTTGAAATATATTTTTAAAATATTCTTCCCAAATACAGTGAAGGAAATGCACATTTGCTCCCCGGCTGATGTTGAATGTTCGCCCCTCACACAGAAATGATCGGTCTAACAATGGAATGTTTCGGTGTAACACTGAGAGACAGAATACAACAACAAATTCAGCAGAAATGCGTCTAACAAATGATGACGGATCTGCATGTTCATGAGGGAAAGAAGGATTTGATCCCCTTCACAAAACATGACTTAGTACTTGGTGGCAAATCCCTTGTTGGCAATCACAGAGGTCAGATGTTTCCTGGAGTTGGCCCCCAGGTTTGCACACATCTCAGGAGGGATTTTGGCCCACTCCTCTTGGCAGATCCTCTCCAAGTCATTAAGGTTTGGTGGCTGACGTTTGGCAACTTGAACTTTCATCTCCCTCCACAGATTTTCAATCGGATTAAGGTGTGGAGACTGGCTAGGCCACTCCAGGATCTTAATGTGCTTCTTCTTGAGCCGCTTCTTTGTTGCCTTTGCCGTGTGTTTTGGGTCATTTGTCATGCTGGAACACCCATCCACGACCCATTTTCAATGCCCTGGCTGAGGAAAGAAGGTTCTCACCCAGGATTTAAGGGTACCTTGCCCCGTCCATCATCCCTTTGATGCAGTGCAGTTGTCCTGTCCCCTTAGCAGAAACCCCGCCCCCCCCCAAAGCAGAATGTTTCCACAACCATGTTTCACAGTTGGGATGGTTTTCTTGGGGTCATAGGCAGCATTCCTCCTCCTCCAAACACGGCGAGTTTAGTTGATGGCAAAGAGCTGGATTTTGGTCTCCTCTGACCACAACACTTCCCACCAGTCCTCCTCTGCATCATTCAGATGTTCAGTGGCAGACTTCAGACGGCCTGGACATGGGCTTTCTTTGAGCAGAGGGACCTTGCGGCACTGCAGGATTTCAGTCCTTGTCGGCGTAGTGTGTTACCAATTGTTTTCTTGGTGACTGTGGTCCCAGCTGCCTGGAGATCATTGACAAGATCCTCACGTGTAGTTCTGGGATGATTCCTCACTGTTCTCATGATCATTGACACTCCACGAGGTGAGATCTTGCATGGTGCACCAGACCTAGGGAGACTGACACTTGTTTTGTGTTTCTTCCATTTGTGAATGATTGCACCAACTGTTGTCACCTTCTCACCAAGCTGCTTGGCCATAGTTTGGTAGCCCAGTCCAGCCTTGTGTAGGTCTACCATCTTGTCCCTGACATCCTTGGACAGCTCTTTGGTCTTTGCCATGGTGGAGAGTTTGGAATCTGATGGTTTGATTGCTCCTGTGGACAGGTGTCTTTTATACAGGTAACACAATGAGATTAGCAGCACTCCTTTTAAGAGACTGCTTCTAATCTCAGCTTGTTACCTGTATGAGAGACACCTGGGAGCCAGAAATCCTGCTGAATGATAGGGGATCAAATCCTTCTTTCCCTCATGAACATGCAGATCCGTCATCATTTGTTAGACGCATTTCTGCAGAATTTGTTGTTGTATTCTGTCTCTCAGTGTTACACAACGAACATTCCATTGTTAGACCGATCATTTCTGTGTGAGGGGCGAACATTCCATTGTTAGACCGATCATTTCTGTGTGAGGGGCGAACATTCCATTGTTAGACCGATCATTTCTGTGTGAGGGGCGAACATTCAACATCAGCAGGGGAGCAAATACGCATTTCCTTCACTGTATATTGACATATATTTGAAATGCTACAATTTGACCATATTCAATATATTTCAAAATATATTTCAATCAATATATATACTGTATGTTAAAATGCATTTTTATTACAAAATATATAAAAAATATTTTTATCTTTAAAATGCAAATCTACATTTCTGGAATGCATTTAAAAATTCTGTATATTTATAAATATATGTTAAAATGACTTTTTTATATGTTAAAAAAAATCTGAAAAATATATTTAGTACATCTTATTTATCTCCTCAATCTAGAGCCAAAAAAAAAAGAAAACAAATGGGCTTTAGACAGCACAGAGGGCTAGCAACAGCACGAGGCATGAGATGCGTTCTGCCTCCTTCTGCTGACACAATGACATTCACTCAGCTACTATACTGGCAGCCTGATTGGAGAGCAGATGGGCACCAGGAATAATGGAGTCCAGCACAGGATGGAAAGGAATGCACCGGAGAGGAGTGACATCTACTAAATCACGCTACACAAGAGCTCACTTCAGCAAGCCAGGGAGGTGCTAAGTCCGCTTCATTCCGTCCAATTAATCACTAAGGAAACTCAACTTCTATTTTTGAAGCTGTTACATCTCAAGTTATGTAAGTGGAGGAGAATTGGAAACATCTGTGCAGCGTCTTTCCCGATATATGGAGACCGAGGAGGAGAGGAGCAGAGGGACTGTATGTCACAGTTCTGGATGCTGGACAGTGCCAGGGACTGCACTGTGTACAGGGAGGCACACAGCTATCAATGATGGATATATATATATATATATACACATTATATTGCCAAAAGTACTGTCCCCCGCACTCCCAATCATGTGATTCAGGTGTTCCAATCCCCTCCCAATCATGTGATTCAGGTGTTCCAATCCCCTCCCAATCATGTGATTCAGGTGTTCCAATCCCCTCCCAATCATGTGATTCAGGTGTTCCAATCCCCTCCCATCATGTGATTCAGGTGTTCCAATCCCCTCCAATCATGTGATTCAAGTGTTCCAATCCCCTCCCAATCATGTGATTCAGGTGTTCCAATCCCCTCCCAATCATGTGATTCAGGTGTTCCAATCCCCTCCCAATCATGTGATTCAGGTGTTCCAATCCCCTCCCAATCATGTGATTCAAGTGTTCCAATCGCCTCCCAATCATGTGATTCAGGTGTTCCAATCCCCTCCCAATCATGTGATTCAGGTGTTCCAATCCCCTCCATATCATGTGATTCAGGTGTTCCAATCCCCTCCATATCATGTGATTCAGGTATTCCAATCCCCTCCATGGACACAGGTGTATACAATCAAGCCCCTAGGCATGCAGACGGCTTCTACAAACATTGGTGAAAGAATGGGTCGCTCTCAGGAGCTCAGTGACTCCAAGCGTGGTCCCGTGATAGGTGGCCACCTGGGCAATAAGTCCATCCGTGACATTTCCTGGCTACTAAATATTCCACGCTCAACTGTTAGTGGGATTATAAACAAAGTGGAAGCCACTGGGAACAACAGCCACTCAGCCACCAAGTGGTAGGCCACGTCACATGACAGGGCGGGGTCAGCGCATGCTGAAGCGCACAGTGCGCAGAAGTCGCCAACTGTCTGCAGAGTCAATAGCTAAAGACCTCCAAACTTGGTGTGGCCTTCAGATGAGCCCAACAACAGTGCGTAGAGAGCTTCATGGAATGGGTTTCCATGGCCGAGCAGCTGCATCCAAACCTTCCATCACCAAGTGCAATGCAAAGCGGCGGATGCCGTGGTGTAAAGCATGCCGCCACTGGACTCTAGAGCAGAGGAGACGTGTTTAGTTCTCTGGAGTGACCAATCACGCTTCTCTGTCTGGCAATCCGATGGACGTTTCTGGGATTGGTGATTGCCAGTAGAGCAGTACTTGCCTGACTGCATTGTGCCAAGTGTAAAGTTTGGTGGAGGGGGGGATTATGGTGTGGGGTTGTTTTTCAGGGGTTGGGCTTGGCCCCCTAGTTCCAGTGAAGGGAACTCTTAAGGTGACATGTTGGACAATTTCATGCCCCCAACTTTGTGGGAAGAGTTTGGGGATGGTCCCTTCCTGTTCCAACATGACTGCGCACCAGTGCACAAAGCAAGGTCCATAAAGACATGGAGGAGCCAGTTTGGGGTGGAGGAACCTGACTGTCCTGCACAGAGTCCTGACCTCAACCCCATAGAACACCTTTGGGATGAATTAGAGCGGAGACTGCGAGCCAGGCCTCCTCCCCCGACATCAGTGCCTGACCTGACAAATGTGCTTCTGGAAGAATGGTCCAACCTTCCCATAGACACCCTCCTAAAACCTTGTGGACGGCCTTCCCAGATGAGTTGAAGCTGTTATAGCTGCAAAGGGCGGGGCCAACTCAATATTAAACCCTACGGACTAAGACTGGGGGGGGCATAAGGTCATGTGTGTGGAAAGGGCGGGGCCAACTAATATTGAACCCTACGGACTAAGGGGGGGGCCATTAAAGGTCATGTATGTGGAAAGGGCGGGGCCAACTCAATATTGAACCCTACAGACTAAGACGGGGGGGTCCATTAAAGGTCATGTGTGTGGAAAGGGCGGGGCCAACTCAATATTGAACCCTACAGACTAAAACTGGGGGGGCCATTAAAGGTCATGTGTGTGGAAAGGGCGGGGCCAACTCAATATTGAACCCTACGGACTAAGACTGGTGGACCATTAAAGGTCATGTGCGTGGAAAGGGCAGGGCCAACTCAATATTGAACCCTATGGACTAAGACTGGGGGGCCATTAAAGGTCATGTGCGTGGAAAGACTAGCGGCCCAATACTGCGGGCAATATGGTATAAATACACACACACAATGTCCAGAGTTTCTCCCATCCTCTGGAACTTCCTACCCTGATCTATGCAGAGCCTCTGACATCCTCTGGAACTCCCTACCTCAATCTGTGCAGAGCCTCTGCCATCCTCTGGAACTCCCTACCCCAATTTGTCCAGAGTCTCTGCCATCCTCTGGAACTACATACCTCAATCTATGAAGAGCTTCTGCCATCCTCTGGAACTCCCTACCCCGATCTGTGCAGAGCCTCTCCTATCCTTTGGAACTCCCCACCCGAATCTATACAGAGCTTTTCCCATGCTTTGGAACCCCTCACCCCTACCTATCCAGAGCCTCCTTCATCCTCTGAGCTCCCACAGGTCTTTCCCCTCCTACCAGCCTGTGACTGAACATTGAAAGGAGAAGCAACAGACCGATGAGCTCATTGCTCTGTCACCATGCTCTCTCCTCCTATGAGAATTACTCTCGTTAGCACTATGGCACCGTATATTGGCTCCCTGTGCTGCTTTTTTCTTTCCAAGTATGAGCTCTGCTGTATGAGGACTGCAAGTGACTGATACTAGGTCTCATTCAGGTATTTACACTGGTTGTATTAAAAAAAAAAAAAAAAAATGTAAAGCTGATCTCCGGGAACAGCAAATATCGTCTGAATCCATTAGTCCTGTGCGTGGTTCTAGAATCTCGGTGATCTTTGTGTATTTCATCCTGTTCTGTGCAGTAATCCAATGTGGGACTTCCTGTAATACAGACCTCTCACTGCTGTTCTCTCTCCTTATGCAAGGTGACTGGTCTCGTCTCCGCCCCCTCCTGTATTTTTCTGCAGGCAACCTGTAGTGGGTGGAGCCTTCTTGCCCCTCCCACAGCTCTGTCCCTGTGCAGGGGGATTGGTCTCGTCTCCGCCCCCTCCTGTGGGTTTCTGTGAGCGGTGGAGCCTGCTGGGCTCCTCCCACAGCTCCACTATTTATCGCTGTGCATTTTTTTTCCACACAACCTTCGGTAGTGGGTGGAGCCTGCTGGGACCCTCCCACAGCTTTGCTCTCCGCACAGGCTATGTACAGCACAGTGATGATGTCACTGCTACCTTTACAAGGCAAAATCTGGGTTTGAAAAGACACACAAAGTGGATTTATATCCCTTGTCGCTACTGAGGAATGTATTTAGCTGAAAGTTGCACGGAGTTCAGCTTTCAATATGTATTAACCACTTGCCTACCGAGCTCTTACACCCCCTTCCTGTCCAGGCCAATTTCCAGCTTTCAGCACTGTCGCACTTTGAATGACAATTGCGCGGTCATGCAACATTACACCCATATGAAATTTTGATCATTTTTTTCTCACACATAGAGCTTTCTTTTGGTATTTACTTGCTGCTGGGTGTTTTACTATTTGCGCTATAAACAAAAAAAAGAGCAAAAAAAATGAAAACAAAAAAAAGAAGAAGTTTCTTTGTTTCTATTATAACATTTTGCAAACAGGTAATTTTTTTCCTTCACTGATGTGCGTTGATGAGGCTGCACTGATAGGCAGCACTTATGGGCACTGATAGGCAGCACTTATGGGCACTGATAGGCGCGGCACCTATGGGCACTGATAGGAAGTACAGATGGGCACAGATAGGCAGCACTGATAGGCAGCACTGATAGGTAGCACTTATGGGCACTGATAGGCGGCACCTATGGGCACTGATAGGAAGTACAGATGGGCACAGATAGGCAGCACTGATGAGGCTGCACTGATAGGCAGCACTGATAGGCAGCACTTATGGGCACTGATAGGCGGCACTTATGGGCACTGATAGGCGGCACTTATGGGCACTGATTGGAAGTACAGATGGGCACAGATAGGCAGTACTGATAGGCAGCACTGATAGGTAGCACTTATGGGCACTGATAGGCGGCACCTATGGGCACTGATAGGAAGTACAGATGGGCACAGATAGGCAGCACTGATGAGGCTGCACTGATAGGCAGCACTGATAGGCAGCACTTATGGGCACTGATAGGCGGCACTTATGGGCACTGATAGGCGGCACTTATGGGCACTGATAGGCGGCACTGATAGGCAGCACTAATGAGGTGGCACGGATAGGCAGCACGGATAGGCGGCACTGATGATGGGTACTGATAGTCGGCACTGACTGGCAGCACTGCTGGGCACTGACTGGCGCAAATGCTGGGCACTGACTGGTGGCACTGCTGGGCTGCACTGGTGGGTGGCACTGCTAGGCACAGGTGGGCGGCACTGCTGGGCACAGGTGGGCGGAACTGGTGGGTGGCACTGCTGGGCACCGATCATCAGGACAGTGGTCATCAGTGCCCTGATGATCAGTGCTGATCCCCGCTCTGACAACTGCCAGTTCTCAGCAGTACTTTCCCCACATTCTGACAGCGTGATTAAAGTGCAGCCGAGAACCGGCAACTGCATTTCCCGGTGATCAGCGTGATCATTGGACACGTCTGATCATGTGGTAAAAGGGCGTTGTGATTAGTCTTTTACCACATCACGTGATCAGCTGTATCCGTAGGACACAGCAATCATGGCGATCGCCGGGGGCGCAGGAGAGCGCATTCTGGGAGAGCGCCATATGACGGCCTCCCAGAACTGGCCAGCCGCAGTGCAGCCATCATTCGGCTATCTGCGGTCGGCAACAGTTAATAATTACAGAGCGGCATTCATTTGTGTCTTTTTCCATCCACATGGTGTTCAGCTTTAATTCCTTGCCGCGGCTATTATTGTAACGGATGGTAAAAATCGTATCCGCAGGAAATAGAAAGTGACATTTCCTGAAAACGAACCTTTAATGGTCCATTTCCTCGGAGCGCCTTCGTGTATTCACTATGTATGAGGTCACCGGCATCTGAGCGCAGCCCCTGAATTGAGGATTTTGTATCACATTTTAGCCGCTCGTTGTCTCCTCGGCCGCGGAGCCGTCAGGCTGGAGCTGGGGGCTTAGCACTTTGTTTTACGATGGAGATCAGCTGGTGTTGTCAGGTACGCGGCCTCTTCCAGCGATCGATGGACGTCCCGCCTGCTGCTTGGCTCCTGGATTTTTCATTAAGACGCTGACTGAGGGTTTATGGGACTTCCTACACGCCGGAGGAAAACCCGAGTGTGACATATAATTGGCCGGCTTCATACATCGAATTGGTCGAATATTAAACTCGTTCTCTGCAGCCTGTCTTGTGACTTTTATGGCGCACTTCAGACCAACTCCCCCTCTACATCACCTCAAAGCATTACTTTTTTTTCTTGTACTATGTTCCTGGAATGTCCTGAAGTCTCACGGCTCGTTTACATTTGCTTCAAAATGTGGCATCAGAAACCTTTTTTTTAAAGCGCTCTAAATGCCAATCAAAGCCACTGCCGCTGAATAAAGTGGGTACCTTACAGTCCTATTCACACGTTGTGTTTGCTTTGCTTCAATAATTATACCGCATGGCACTTTCTTGGTGCTTTAAAGCGGAGTTCCACTTGAAAAAAAATAAAATAAAAACT